TTTCCACCTTGAAAGTTTTGCATTTGGGGTAAGAATTGGCAGAAGATTTTTCTTTTTCAAATTCTGCTCAAGAGAGGGAAGCTCTTTGACAGGCATGCCAGCTCTTTAAATGACCTGTGTTACACCAATGGTTTTCAGAAATGACTTCAAAATGATGATTTGTGGTGGGTTTTTTGTTTGTTTTGTTTGTTTTTGAGAGGGAAGTCTAAATTAGTACCATCTGCCTTTGGTGACGTCATCATTTACTTCTTATCTGAGTGATGAGACTGGTTTTCAGTGTGCCCGGGAGGTCTGAAGCCCCTGGCATTTCAAGTCCCAGCACTCACCTCCCTAGACCACCATGTTTATTATCTACAAGCAGTAGCATTGAACCCTAATACTTGTAGCCCTAGAACAAGGCCAGATGTTGTCATTGTCCCCAGCTCCCGTTGCAGCTTCACATAACTTTTAAGTGTTTCAGTTTATTAAATTTCAAACCCTGGACAGAAGGTTGAGGTGCCTATTTAACATATCAAAGCTGACCTGGCTTCCAGGTTTTCCCAGCATCCCTCAGTCCCTTCCTGTTACAGGGATCCTCCTGGCTGGCATGCCCCACCCCCAACCCTAAACTTCTTCAGCCTAAGGGCTGTCCTTCTCTGAATAATCCCATCATTTCAACTACTTTTCTGGGCCTCCAGGCTACTGCACCTAGTTCCCCTCCTCCTCTCTCCCTGCCCCCCATTTCTCCCACATGGTCCAGCTCAGTCTGGTCACGTCCATGCTGGACCTTCCCATATGTCTGTAATAAACTTTGACTCTGGCTATCCTCCACCACATATCTACAGTAAACTTTCATCTGCACCAGACCTAAGAGCAACCATGCCCTTCCTTTTTTAATTCCTCTTTTGATTAGTCCAGTGCCAAAACCCGGGACCAATCATGGTTCCTCTCCTTTTTATTTCTTCTCATTCAGAGCTCATAGACCTTAGCAAGCCTTCCTGGCTCTATCCGGGAGCAGAAATAACCCCCAAAGCCTCACTCCAGGTTCTTCTTTCCCACCAATCTTGGAAACTAAAGGCAAGCACCTCAAGGGCTTACTCTCTCCGTCTGGTCTCAGCACAAACTGGGCATTCCTACAGAGCTGATCAAACTCTGCTAAGGGATCCACATCAACTCTGCTCTGCAAGGTCATAGATCAGGTAGAGTGAAAGGCAGGTTGTACCAAAAGCAAATCTCAACAAGGGTTTATAAATCCAAAGAGGACGATTTCTTTAATCCCAATACCCATACCTAGGTAGCAGAGAATTCAAGGAGGAACAAAATATTCAGAAAAGAATACATAAAATCTTGGGTTTACTGTTGAAGAATGGTTGGGTCAGTTTCTCCAGCTTTCTGGGTCTCTTGGTGGTCACCTGTAAAGGGACGTCCATGACCAGTTCAGAAACCATTGACAGTGGTGTGACATGGTATATATCAAACTACACAGTGTAAGTAAAACAGGAGGGACTACACGGAAGTGGAGCATCAGAAGAGTGGGCAAAGGAAAGCCATCCTAACTTCTAGGCTCCCTGGAGACTGCACTGTCTACAAAGATGGGGAATGCCAGCTCCCTACTTTGTGCTTGTAAGAATAAGCTCCATGACAGTAACATATCACCTGAGCAAAATTATCCCTGCTAAAATTAGGGTGAGTCCACACTTGGGACACACGCCCAGCATCTGAGCAGAACTCAACAGGACTCACTTACCAATGCCACGCTCAACTCATCATCAGCCACATTGCCCTTTGTTGTGCCAAGCCACAGGGGCTGTAGCAAGGCTGCTATGCATCATTGCCAAGACAACAAACCATGGAACATATTTTAAGCCTTTTCTAGAAGTAAAGCTAAGGAAGAGGAATGTGTTCTGAATGAGCCGATGTTCAGACAGAGAACGCTCAATAATGTCAGGCGCACACTGAAGTCCAAAAATAGCTTTTTCCCAGAGCCAAGCTTATGTGCTGGCACTTCTCAGGAAAAAAACTTCAAGCCTCTCATAATTCTTAGGATGCGGCAATGAGCAAAGGAAAGGGGATTGCTTTTCTGCTACTCTTTTTCACAGAGGATGGATTAACCTCCCTGGTTGGTCCCAGGGGGAATGACAATCTCCATTCCACTTGTCCTCCCATCTGTGCTCTGGGCTCATTTCTCTACACTGCATTTCCTTGGAGAGGTGGAATCCCTTCTTATAGTTGATCCAATACTCCAAGACACACTAGTACTGGCACTCACATGTGGCTCCTTTGGGGGGACTAGGCATCTTTGTTGGTTTGCTTTGCAGAGGTACCCCATGAAGCACATTTATAATGTCAATTTCCCAGAGTTTAATGACACAGCCAAGATCAGAGAAGGGCCCCATATCTTGAGAGCCCTGTGTGTCCTGCTGTTTGGATTTCACTACAATACATCTAAATGTCTGAGAAAACGGGTGAACTATAAATCAAAATCATCATTCTCAACCTGCATCAAAATCCTGCTGAAATGCCTCGCTCAGGGAAAGAGAATAATTATGCCTCGGTTGTAATATATTTCACTGTTGCCTCAAATTCTTCCTAACTCACTAAGTCTATATCATTTGATATATGATGTTGAAGTCTTCTACAAGAAAGAAGGAGGAAAAGAAGAAGAGGAGGAAGAAGAGGAAGAAGAAGATGGTGACAAAGTGTGGCTGGGAGTATGAAGCAGAACCAACAGCATAACTGGTCCTAAGCCTAGACTCTAGGAAACGGATGCAGCTCATCATTCTCTTCCACCTATGACAAGAGCTCATCATCAATGACAAGAGCTTATCTAAGTAGACCCAGTGCTCCCCGAAGAGGAGACCTACATGAAGTAGGAATTCCCCCACTAAGATACCCAGCCACCAAAGGCTTGAGCAGAGTCCCTGCCAGGGGGGTTAACAGATTGGTACAGGCTAGCAGGGGATTGATTCTCTCTCTCTCTCTCTCTCTCTCTCTCTCTCTCTCTCTCTCCCTCCCTCCCTCCCTCCCTCTCTTTCTCCCTCCCTCCCTCCTTCCCCCCTCCCTCCCTCCCTTTCTCTCTTTAGAAAATGGTACAGAAATCCCACTTGCCTTTCAGAAAATCTCTATGTTGGGAAGGAAGTTGGGACCTTCCAGTTATTCTAGACTTCAACATTTTAGGGACGAACAAAGTTACACACACACACACACACACACACACACACACACACACACACGTGTCTTAGGAGCCAAAATTGGGCTGCTGATGCTCTGGTTTTCCCCAAAAATGCAATATATTGAAGTAACCACTGTTTGCTATCACCATCCATTCATAAAAGATGGGGCATTTTAAAACTGGACCCTCTGAACATGGCGAACAATGAGGGCTGATGAGACGCAAAGGACAATGGCACGGGGGTTTGATCCTACGTAATGTGGTGGCTTTGTGGGAGCCTAGCCAGTTTGGATGTTCACCTTCCTAGATATGGACGGAGGGGGGAGGTCCTAGGTCTTACCATAGGGCAGAAAACCCTGACTGCTCTTTGGACTGGAGAGGGAGGGGGAAAGGAGTGGGGGGAGGGGGAGAAGGGTGGGAGGAGGGGGCTTAGGGTGGGAGAAGGGGGAGGGAAATGGGAGGCTGGGAGGAGGTGGAAACTTGTTTTTTGTTTATTTTTTTTTCTTTCTCCTTTCCTCAATAAAAAAAAAAAAAGATGGGGCATTTTAACACTAAAAGTGAAAAGGAACATAATGCTAGAATATAACTATAGCCCTTCTAAGGCAGTTGGCCAGGCTCCATATATAAGCCATTTCTTTCATTCTATCACAGAATGAAAACTTGGTCACTAAATAGTTCTGTTCTGTGTGTTAACAATGTCTCTACATGCTTTATGGTGGAAACTGTCAGCAGAACATGAAGTCAATTACACAAATCTAGGTTCTATTTGTTCTGTGACAACATAGAGCTTACTCTTTTCTCCGTTGAAATAGAAAGTAAAACTAAATTCCCTTTTCCCCAGCTAGAAGTCTGACGGCAACATGGGTGGCCAGTAGCTCTATGGGAGTCACTGCGGAGCATGTACCGCAGCGTCTCCATCAATATGCAAACGGCATGGGCTTCATTAGGTTGAACAAACTGACCTTTCTTGAAAGGATTATTCAAGAGAGTCTACCCAGTGAAAGAGACCATGTCAGTCTTTGTACATAAAAATAAAAATTGAAAAGCACTAAAACCTTTCCAAAAAGAGATGAATTTGATCACTTCAACTTATCTTCTCCACTGGCTGCCAAGAGCTCCTCTGAACAACCAGCACAGACACCAAACCCCAGCTTCTCTTTAGCAAGTCTCTGGTTGAAGCCACGGTTCTGTGTGTTGCGCCACTTGAAGCCATTGTGTATTCAGATCACTAGAGTGAAGCTATGGTCCTTGAGATTCATTTTTGGAGCTAACTGCACACATCACCTAGTATCTTTTGCAAACTCCCTCCTGTCTTTAAGCCTCCGTTCCTCCTCTGTAATGAAGGAACTGGAAGATTTCTAAAGAGCCTCCTGGTCTAATGCATCTGAATGATGCTGAACTCTTCATTCATCAATCTATAATCTAACCAAAAAGGATTCTTTTCAGAGCCAGCAGCCTGCTGTGGCTATGGCTAAGAACAGAGTTGCAGAATCAAGTACAACCAAGATGTTGACCCTGCTCACCAGTAGTCTGGGACCCCAGCAGCTCACTGTCTTATGAGTACAAGGACAGAACCTTGTGGGTGACTTGACAGCCAAGGAGACTAAGTGATGCCAGCAGTGGATGGGACTCAAGTTCACAACTTCCCAGAAGGCAGTGGGGATGCATTTCTAGAATCCCAGTGATCCTGGGCTCTAGAACTTTTGTCAAAAGTGTTGGGGCAGAATTGAGGCAGCATGGACCCCAAAGTCTTCCACATCACTCATTACAGCCATCCAAGACTCCTTCCATCTGAGAAAGAGTTGGACATGCGAACATTACCCTCCATGGTGCCTAGAAAGTGTAATACCATGAAACCAGGGAGCGATGGACTTGGTGTTCCTCTCAAAGCCAGCTCTGCGAGGCAGCTGTTCCTCCTTGAACCAACGCACGATGACTTCTCTGGAGAGTGGACGCAGAGGACGCTCCCAGGTCCTGATGGGAAGAAAGAGAGTAAGGGAGGGGACGAATCAGAGGAGTGGAAGAGAATAAAGAACAGGGAGAGGGAAAAGAAAGGGAAGGAGTTGAGTGGGAAGAGATGGCTTGGCAGGTGGGGACACTTGCTACGAAGTCACACCGTGAGTTTGATCCCAGGGACCCACGTGCAGAGAATTAACTCTCACAGGTTGTTCTCTGACCTTCACATGCATGATCTATTATGTTTATGTATACATGTACGGATGCACAGTAAATAAATAAGTTTTAAGAGCAAAGAAGGGGAGGCAGTTCTGACTATTCCCCCAACTTTGGAAAACACATAGGAGCTTTATCTCATAAATATTAAGCATTTCAGCACCCTAGAAAATTCCACCTCCAAAACTCAAATGATAAGGGACAAACTGAGAAAAAGATTTTGCCATAATTTTTCCCTAAATTGGGGAGCTTCTAGAGACGGGTAAAGGAGGCACAGATCACACAGCAAAAGGGTGTACTGGACAACAGAAGAGAAGGAAATACCGTGGCCCTTCAACATATGTGAAATGCTCAGTCTGGCCCATAGTCATGTGTGAGTATTTAAACTTACTCCAAGACATATTTCCTTCCACGAAACAAGGTTGGCGACACCGTGGGCCCGGCTAAAGGATGTGAAAGATTCAAACATGGGTCACAGCCCTGTGCAGGGCCAGTGAATTTCAAAAGTACACAGTCTTTGAACAATGACCCTACTTGGGAGGATATCTTGGCAGATTATAGTTTCCCAATATAAAATTAACTTCCACAAGATTATACACGCAGGGTCTGGCTGGTGACTGCAGAAGATTTGAAATAGCAATGCCCACTGACAGAGTCTCTGTTAACCAATAGCAAATCCACACAGCAGAACACAGGCAGCTTTTCTTTAAAAAAAAAAGAAAGAAAGAAAGAAAAGAAAAGAAAAAAAGGAGAAATAAGGTGGTGTATGTTTGTTTGCTTTTTGTTTTGTTTTCTAATGTTGGCAAGAACTCAAAGAAGCCCAGGGCTTAGGGTAGGGTAAGGTAAGAAGCGAACAACAATAAATGTCTACGAAGGTGCTGTGAGGAAATGGTACACCAGGAAGGAATCAGAGTTCTCTATGAACACTATCCCTTCTCAGGCCTTCTAGTACATCATGAGGAAATAAGGGGGAAGGGAGGAAGGGGAAGGGGAGTTGTGAAGCCAGAGGCAGCTCTTGCTAGACTCTAGGGAAGAGGAGTAGGGGGTCATGAACAACCCCAGACTCAAATCAGTACAACAATGGATAAACCACACTACCTGGGGGTAAACTGACTCTTGAACAATCCCCGGAGATGAGGGAGCCACAGGTGCTCAATCCCATAGCTCCCCTCCCCAGGGAAGAAAACCGTGCTGCAAGGATTGCTGAGGGGTCTTGAGATAAGAGCCAGTCTCAGGGTCAGTCCAGACTGACAGCCAGAACATGAACATGCAGAGGCTTCAGGTAACCTTGTGTCTTTGACTTGCCAATCATAGGTTGTCGCTTAAGTGTCCTTGTCAAACAACCCGTCTACGGACACAAATGTGCACAAGGGCCTCTCAGTGCGCCTGCAGTAATCTGCAAACCTGCTGTTCAAACAAGGAGCAAACCAGCTCCATTCAGAATTAGAAAAGGCTGTAGCCCTGCTTTCCAGCTACTGGGCTACATTTATCCCATCTTAGACCTTTTGGTGCAAGGTTTTGACCAAGACCAAGGAATCTAAAACTATGAAAACAGTTGAGGTACTTGCATATACAGATTATGAGGGGAATAGGATGTATACTTTTCTTCAGATTATCAAAGATTATAAGATTCCTTAACCACTGAAAGGCTAACCCCAGAACAGCAAAGTTGTTAGAAAGGTCCTACCCTATTTCTGTGTTCCGCCCCATTACATAGATTGGAACGCTAAGGCCCAGGGAGGGCAAATGATCAACAAGTAAGAAACAGAGCCTGGACCAGAATGCATGGAGCTTGCATCATGGGTCCATGGCCCATCTTAACACACCTGTCAGCTCCTGTAAGGGGTGTTGATTGACTGGTGCATGGAAGTTGATGGCAAAGTCTTGCCTCCTGCTCATGGTTCTGGCCAAGTTCTTGGAACATGGTGCTTAGGCCCGCGACTGTGCCCTTCTGGATGGCTCGGAGTGAGTGGCGCCGGTACTCATCCCGGGCTCGCTGGGCACGACGACTCCTCTCTTCATCAGCTGCCTTGGATCTGCGCACTGGAAAAGAGAACAGTATGGCTGGCCTTGATCCACAGCCCAAGCTGTACACTGGGAAGACACAGACAGCGCAGTACACAACTTACTTGGAATTTCACCATTTCCTGGGAGCTGACCACTCACAACACCATAGACTACAGGAGGCTTCGCTTCTGTAGGAATGGCAAAGCATGCTCAGCCCCAAGATTGTGGGGGTACAAGGGTCTTTTTATAACTGACACTCCATGGGCTATAAAACTCCAAGGCACTATTCTCTCTCCAGCATTCTGCTTTCCACATCCCTCAATGGGGCTTTAACATAGCCAAGTAGGCTTGAGAAAGCTACAGTGCCTGTGTGTACGTGTGTCTATGTATATATGTGTGTGTATGACTGTGTGTTTCTGTGTATCTTTGCATGTGTGTATTTGTATGTTTGTGTGTGTATGTATCTGTATATGTGTGTTTTCATGTCTCTCTGTTTGTGTCTGTGCACATCTGTGTATATATGTATGTATGCATGTATTTGTGTGTTTATTGTGTGTGTTTGTGTGTATGTTCATGTCCATCTGTATGTGTGTGTCTGTGTATGTGTGCATTCATGTCTGTGTGTGTATGTGTGAAAGTGTGTGTGTGTGTGTCTCCTAAAACTCATAATTACATCTAGGGTTAATAAAATGAAGTGTGACTCTCTGCTCCTCTCTGTTTCCGAGACAGCCTCATCTTACTGTGCAGTGCCAGCCTTGCTCCCGAGATAGGATGGTGAAGTTCAGAGTGAACAGATATGGCCTTACTGGGATCCTGGTTACCAAGGCTGCCTTTATGTCTGGAAAAATGGATAATTTTGCCATCAATGACCCCTTCATTGACCTTAACTACATGGTCAACATATTCTAAAATGACTCTACCCATGGCAAGTTCAATGGCACATGCAAGGCGAAGAATGGGAAATTTGACATCAACGGGAAGTCCATCCATCACCTTCTTCCAAGAGTGGAATCCCGCCAACATCAAATGTGGTGCTGCTGGTGCTAAGTAGTTTGTAAAGTTTACTGGAATCTTCACCACCATGGAGAAGGATAGGGACCAATTGAAGGATGGAGCCAAAACAGTCATCATCTCCTCCCCTTCTGCTGATGCCCCCATGATTGTGATGTGTGAACCATGAGAAGCATGACAATTTTCTCAAGATTGTCAGCAATGCTTCCTGCCACCAACTGCTTAGCCACCTTGGCCAAGGCCATCCATGACATTTTTGTCGTTGTGGACAAACAGTCTATGCCATCACTGCCAACCAGAAGACTAGATGACCTTTATGGGATGCTGTCCCTTTTGGGGGCTACCCAAGACATCATCTCTGCAAGACTCACAAAAGGGTATCCTGGGCTACAATGAGGACAAGGTTGTCTCCTGTGACTTTAACAGTGATGCCCACTTTTCCACGTTGATGCTGGGGATGGCATTACTCTCAGTGACAACCTTTAAAGCTCATTTCGTGGTATGACAACAAATTCAGCTACAGCAACAGGGTGGTGGACCTCATGGCCTACATGGGCTTCAAGGAGGAAGAATCCCTGGACAACCCACCCCAGAAAGGACATGAGAGCAAGAGAGAGGCTCTCACCTGCTGAGCAGCCCCTGTCCTAACTCAGCCCCCTTACAGTTTCCATCACAGACCCCCAGAATAACAGGGGGGGGGGGGGCTTAAGGAGCCCTATTCTCTTGAATACCATCAATAAAATTTATTGTACCCACAAACATAAGAAAAGAAAAGAAAGGAAAGGAAAAGAAAAGAAAAGAAAAAAGGCAAGACAAAACAAGACTGAACAAAGCCAACTGAAGTCAAGGGCTTCTGCCAAAATTGGTCATCCTGGAGTCTGACTTCTTCTTGTCAGACCTCTACCTGCCTCTAAAATCCAAGCATTCTCACTAGACAGCTCTGGAAACTGGTCCTGGAGTTCAAATTGTGAAAGAGTAATGGTTACACTGGCCCTGGCAGACCACCTCCCTCTCCAGGAATTAAAATCTTACTTCATCCATGCATATCCAGCTCCTACAGCGTTCTAGAAACTGCACTTTGTCAGTATTTGGAGGGCACAGGTAAGTTGCTCTACTCCTCAAAGACGGTTTTGCCTCCACAGGTGATCAGGAGCCTTTTTGGAGAACGTGGCATCTTCAGGTCCAAGCACATTGCCTATACCTACAGAAACATTTAAAGAGCAGTGCCATGCACAGAAGATCTCCTGCATTTTGAGCTCCACAGGGTCAGGTTCTTTGACCCCGCTCATTGCCAAACTCCAGAACAGAGTTGGCAGACAGGATACTTTCCAAGTGATTAGGGATTCCAGTATGCTGGGTAGATTGCTCCTGTGTAAAGTGCTTGCCATCCGCACATGAAGCTGTGAGGTTCATCCTCAACATCCTGTAAAATGTTGGTATGGTGGCATGTGCCAGAAATCCAGCTCTGGGGATGCAGAGAGAGAAGATCCCTGAAGTTCACTGGCCAGCCAGACTAACTGAATCTGTAGGCCCCAGGTTCAAGGAGAAGGCCTGTCTTTAAAAACAAAGTGGATAATGGAAGGCATTCAAAGTAAACCTCTGGCCTCAGCGCGCGCGCACACACATGTGCACACACACAGTCATGTATGCCGTCACATACACATACAGAATATTTAATGACTTTAAAAAGCATTTGGCTCTGCATTTGACTCTGGGCTGGATAAAGAGAAGACATGGAAGCAGACCTTCCTTTTATCACTGTGACCAAGCTGGAGAAAGGCCAGATAAATATCACCAATATTAATGAAAAAGGTCACGAGTGTCCTTAGAAGAAGAAAAGAAGGGGGAAGAAGAAAGAGGAGGAGGAGAAGAAGAAAGGAGCAGCAGCAGCAGCAATAATAAATTACTGTGAGAGTTCCGGGTCCACAGAGTCCATAATGTACAGGAACCAGGGCTGTCAAAGGTGAATAAGCCTGCAACTGTGCTGTGGAGGGGTCTGTTCCCACCAGAACTGTGCTGTGGAGGGATCTGTTTCCACCGGAATTGTGCTGTGGAGGGGTCTGTTCCCACCAGAACTGTGCTGTGGAGAGATCTGTTTCCACTGGAACTGTGCTGTGGAGGGGGTCTGTTCCCACCAAGACTCAAGCTGAGATGTAGGACCTTTAATAGAAACTGCAGTCACCTTTGGAAGTCTTGATTAATTTTCTCATCAATGGATGAGTTTTGGGGAAACAAATGGCTAAATCAGATCACCCTGCTTTGTTCCCTCTCTGTTTCCTCTTGCTCTCAGGCAGAGAATAAATCTGGTTCCTTTGTGAACTGCCACGTCTTGTGAATTCCAGTGAGAGAAAATGAACAAGACGGTATGGAGAGATCAAACCCTTTCTAGAGAAACGGAGAGGGGAGTTCATTCCAGGAAACAACTGTGGGTTTCAGTGACCCAGAGACTCATCTGTAGGCCTCAGGGAGCAAGAATTCTGTGAATTCTGCTTTCACTGTGAGCAGAGGATGAGACAGGGTCAGGAAGCCCAGAACTGACTTCAGGGTCATTAATACACAGACAAGTAACTTCAGAGTGTACAGTCCCTTAGAGTAGGCACTAGAGAAAGACAGACAGACAGGCAGGCAGGCATACATAACTTTTGCTTCTGAAGCCCTGTCTCGTATGCAACACTATTATCCTTTAGTTCTTTTTCCCTGAACAATAGTCAGTGCCCCCCTTAGTCTGTGGACTGCCACCCCGCCAGGCTATTCTAGAATCATATCCCCAATGACCTTCAGGGCTCCCACTCAGTTTTCTAACACTGAAGAAACACAGGAGTGTCTCTTTTCCCTCTTGGTCACACAGCTCCAGAAGTGCAAAGAGGCAAGAACTAAAGGGATTTCACCACTTCAAATAACGTGCTGGCCAGGTGTGGCGATACCCTCCTATACTTCTAGGACCCTGGAGGCTGAGCCCAGAGGATTGCAAGCTTCAGGACAGGCTAGCTATATAGCGAGACTCTGCTTCAAAACCCTGAATGAATGAATGAATGAATGAATGAATGAATGGCATAGTCAGACAAGTGTATTTAGTTATCTACTTGTGCCAGTTCTAAGTGTTGCACAGGGCTAGCGCTTAATACTATGCAAGTCACACACCGTGCAACTTCAGGAGACCCAGCTGTAATGTTTGGCTCTCAGAGAACTTACAGCAGAGTGGGCACAATGTAGCACTAAACAGTAGAGCTGTGGTGGGGTGTGCATTGGCCACCAGTGACCCCAGACATGGATAGTCTCTGGAAGCAGGGAGAGGTCTAAGCTGATGCCTGGTGGATTCAAGGGATTCAACCAACAGTGGCCAATGGAAGAACAATTTTAACAGAGTGGGCTCAGAGGCCAGAGAGAGCAGACGTGCAGCATCCCTGCAAGGCAGAAGTACCAGAAAAGACCACTTGAAGGCCAGTAACTCCTGGCTTATGTGCTCTAATAATGTCTTGAGAGACAACTGGAAGCCACTAGAGGGCAGAGTTCTGTCTGCACGCTAAAGAGATTGCTTTAGAAGATGCAGAAAAACAGGAAGGCACTGAGCAAAGAGAATGGAGCTGACAAGCAACAGCATATAAATTTAGAGAAATAAAAAGGCAGAATCTGTACAATTATGTTGGATTAGTAGTAGTAATATTACCATTGCTTTATTTATGGTAAATTATGTGTGTGCGTGTAGAAGTCAGAGGACTTGTGAGTGTTAAGTTCTCTCGTTTTTTCCTTATGGATCCCAGGACTTGAACTCAGATCTTTGGCCTTGACAGCAATTGCCTGTACCCACTGAGTCCATCACAAGCTCCCTAGGTCAGTTTTCATGCTGAAAGTGGGAAGAACGAAGAGATCTGATGGCCAGGTTCCAGTCCTTTTTAAAATTACGTTATTGATTGAGTGAGTGAGTGACTTATTTTTGTGTGTATATCCATATGTATGATGTGTGTGCATGGAAGTGTGTATATATGTATTTTGGTCTCTTTGAGATAGGGTCTTTCTAGTTTGAC